TCTCTCTCTCTCTCTCTCGTTTGGGTCTCTCGGCCCAAATAAACAGCGGAGCTCTGAGACCGGAGACCGCAGACAGGTAGCTCAGTTCGGGCATGAAAGATGGAGCTCTCGGCGGTGGGAGATCGCGTTTTCGCCGCGGAAGCCATCCTGAAACGCCGCGTCCGTAAGGTGAGCTGCCGCCGCCGCCGTCCCGCGTGTTTGCACCTCCCGCAGATGTTTGGCCGCGGTTCGTCGCCGGTGTCTCCCTTGCGCCTACCGCAAAGCGTTGGAGGCCTTGTGACTAAGCGGATGCCTTCACTTTGCTAGTCGTAGCTTAGCAAGGAGCTGACTTAGCGAGGCTTTCAGTGATGGCTCATATTTTCCGGTTTTTAGCAGGCGAACAGCGACACAAAAGAAGGGGCTGCTGCAGAGCCGACGGGTGGGGGTTGTGCTGTGAAATGGAGGGGCCCCGGTTTGTCTGCCAGCTAATGGTTGCTAAAGCTCTACGGCCACAATGTTCCTTTTACAGCCTGTGGAAGAGGTTATATGTTGCACCCACATTAAAAGGCAGCAAGAGTTGAGTTTCCTCTGCAGCTTGTGAAAGATGGTTCCCAAAAACATTGCACTCATGTGCTGTAGCTGAGACGGGCAATGAGCTGTGAACTTCTGATAGTTTTCCACTGTTTTATCGGTGTAGTAATGCTGGAAAAGAGCCCGTAAATCATGGTAGGGTACCATCTTAAGTGGCTGGAAATACACAGTTAAGCAGCAGGCCCAGCAGCCCTCCAGTTGCTTCTCTATTGCCTGCAAGAACTTAGAAGTTGCACTCACTCTTGGGAGAGCAAGCACTTGTACCAAAGCAGGAATGCCACAGTTAGGTTTAACATTAGCTACTCACTGATCATGCAGCATAATGTTCATATTATTATTTGATATTTATTCTATGGGAAAAAAGGGCACGATACCCAACGATAAACATTTGATATTATTGAGAATGTATGGGATTGTAAGTTTGAGAGCCAGGATAAGCTCACATCAGGATGTAAACAGTGAGTCATCGACAATAAAATGAGAAGAAATCCCCAACAAGGGTTCCCTCACCCAACAAGAAGTCCCATCTTTATTTAATAAAGTGTACATATTACATTTTCCACAAGTCTGATGAACAAATAATGTCTTCAGACACATCTGCAGGCAACCGTGTCAGTGAAAAAGTAGTTTTTTCGCCCTACTGAGGTAAACACAAGCCTGAATTACCTGTACAATGGCACAGAATTATACATGAACTGTCTTTGTTTTGATATTGACCTTCCTGCTCTCTAAATGTCGGCCGTTGAAAAACCCCATATCGGTCGACCACTTTTTTCCAGACTACCTGAGATGGAGTCGGCATGTCTGAAAGTTAACATGGGTAAAATTAATGAAATGGTGAAGCATGCAGGAGTTTGTGTGTTGTGTGTAAAGAACAAAACAAAATCCCAGTAACTCCCAAACATTAGATTAAAGAAAAAAAGAGGAAGTTGCTGCAAATGAGTT